GCCAACTCATTCATTCCTGTTCACTTCTTGGGTGCCATTTTATGGTGTGTTTGTAGGTAATTTGGTAAAGAAAGTCAAGTTGTAATCCATGTGATAAACCAAGAATTAGGATGAGGGAACACCAGCGATTTGACTGGTTTTGTCATTATTCTCAGATAGCTTAGTCAAGTCCATCCTCATATTGGGAACGGTCTTGTCATTAGATAAAACATCTTCAATCAGGCAAATCTAACAAGCCCAGCAATCATTCTACTTATTGAAGGTTGTTTTGCATAACTCTGCCCTGATGTGTTGATTTCTGTGAGATAAGCGTACATGCATGCGTATTTGTGTGTGTGTGTGTGTGTGTTGTGATAGTTAATCTTGATTATCAACTTGATTAGACTGAGAGACACCTAGGAGATTAGTAAAGCACACTTCTGGATGTGTCTGTGAGGATATTTTCAGAGAGGATTAGCTCATGAAGGCTCTGACCTAATCAATGGCTTAATCCATCAGTGGATTTAAAACCTGAAGACTATCGAGAGATAGTGGAACTATGGAAGGGGGCCTCGCTGGAGGAAGTGCCACTGCGGACATGCCTTTGAAGGGTATATCTTGGCTCTGGCTGCTTCCTGTTAATCCTCTCTGCTTCCTGGCTGCCATGAGGTGAGCAGCTCTGTCCATCACAGCCTCCCCATCACGATGTTCTGTCTTGCCTCAGGTTGCAAGCTATGGAGTCAGCCAATCATGGACTGAAACCTCTGAAACCATGAGCCCAAATAAATCCTTTCTCCTTTAAACTGCTTCTCTCAGGTATTTGTCACAGTGATGAAAAATCTGATTCATATGCATATATATAAGTTTTTGCCCAAAGTTCCTAGCTCATAACTTCCTCCCCAAGGCAGGTTATTAAAACTCTTATCTTTTCCCACCTTTCTATCTTAGAGCTGGATGTAAAAATATTCTCTGTCCTACATTTATCTGATAATCATTAGACCCTCCTCATTCTGGAGGGATCCTACCCCATGCCCTGGAGGAAGGAACGCTGCACAGAGAGGCCAAGAAGAATCTCAACAGACAGGCCTTCTGGGACCCCCCCATTTAGTCTCTTAGCAATCATGCCTAGGCAATGAAGTCTCCATGGAACCCAAAATGACAGGATTTGGAGTATTTCTGGATAACTGAACACAGACAGTCTCTCGGAGGGTGGAGCTCCCAGAGAGAGCATGGAACTCCATGCCTCTGTCTTCTGTACTCTACTCTCTGCATCTCTTCATCTGTATCCTACGTAATATCTGTTCTAATAAGTCAGTAAATGTAAGTGTTTCCCTGAGTTCCATGTGCTACTGGAGCAAATTAATTGCGCCCAAGGATGGGGTCTTAGAACCCTGCTTTATAGCCAGTCAACGGGAGAACAACCTGGGACTGTTATTGGCATCCAAAGTGTTGGGGGGAGTTATTAACCTGTGGGATCTGATGCTCTCCAGGTAGACAGTGTCTGAACTGAATTGGATCAGGGGACACCCAACTTTTGTCCACTGCAGAATGGACTACTTGCTTGCTGGTGGGAAGAAATACCCCATCTTTTGAAGCAGGTCCCTAATGCCCTGATAACAAAACTGAAAAGAACAGAGACACATAAACAACTGCTGTTTTAAAGTAAAAGGATCAGATTGACTTAAAAAAAAAAAAACTTTTCAGAAATAGGAGACAGGAGAGATGGGGGAGAAAAATGCATGTCTTACCAGCATTCTCAGTCATAGAGACCTTCCTTTCCACTGCTGTCCTCGTAACTGTGACATTGATCACCAATCAACACCTACCATGACTCCATTCCTACACAAGGCTACCAGTAAGATGGGGAAGGGGTGAGGGGATGGCCAAGCTCCTGTAAAAATATGTTCTGGGATATGTAATTTATCCCACAGAAACAGTTACAGAAGTGGTTGTTCATTAGAGCATTGCTAGTCATAGAGAAAACAGGAAATAATCTAAATACTTTCAATAGAAGTATTGGTTTCTTTTAATAAAGAAACCATGGCGTACCATACAATGGAATTCTGTATAGCCATTTAAAAGCTGGGGCTTGAACCCAGGGGCTTGAGCTCACTAGGTAAGTGCTATAGCACTGTACTGTACCCTCACCCTAGATAACAATGTAAAAAGTACTCAAGTAGCCAGTCCACAATTGCTTTGGTAGGGTGGGCTCAGGTTTAGCAGGGCAAACTGGGGGAACTGGAATGATGGACTGAGCCCCTGTGTCCATGCTAGGGTTTTTACCACTCGAGGTAAAAACCAGGGAACTACTGAAAGATTTTATGCAGGGGATGGCACGATTGACTTTGCATTGTAGTGATGCTGTACGTGGTCACAGTAGATATTAGGCTAAATGCATTAACCCAAGAGTGACTGGAACTGACCTAACACATCAGGTATGAAACTAAGGGATAATCAAAGTTTTCAGGTAGGTCACCAACTTATCACATTATGGAGCTGGAAGTCCCTTAAACTTGACCTTGGCCTAAACTCTCATCACTTTCATCAACTTGGCCAAGGTCACACAGATAAGCTAACTCACCTTCATATGGTTTTATTTTTATATAGTAGATCTCTAAGTTAAAAACAAAATGTTTTCCTATGAATTTCAAAATCTTTGGTTGACACAGTTTAATAATATTTACTCTTTAATGATAACAAATAAAAATCTGAAATTGCATTTAAAATAGGCTAGAGAATTGACAAATACTGAGTATAACAGGAAGTGACTTTCAAGCCCGGGATGTGGTGCAAGCCTGTAATCCCAGCTACTTGGGAGCCAGCCTGAGAAAACATAGCAGTGACCCTGTCACATAAACAAAATAAAAACCAAAGGGCTGGGGGTGTAACTCAAGTGGTAGAGTGGTTGCCTAGCATGCATAGGACCTGGGTTTGATCCCTAGTAGTGCACAAAAAAGGCGGGGTAGGGGACTTTTATGTTTAAAATAAACAATCTCTGACTTCAAAATAAATGGATACGACCCAGTTAAGAACAAATCTTTGTTCACGTCATAGTGTTTCTCAAGTAAATCTTCTGTTTCATACACCATGCAATTTCTGTTTTGGCAATAAGGTTGCTTGCAATCAATCACACCCACATGCATTTTCTTTCCCTTCTCTAACCAACCCCATTTGAAAGCATTTTCTATTTCCTGGAACACATATAACACATTTTAGTCAGTGATCTTTAAAAAAAAAACTGTCTTCAAAATGCTAAGCACCTCTAGCCAGGGGCCAGTGGCCCACACATGTAATCCTAGCTACTTGGGAAGCTGAAATCAGGAGGATCATAGTTCCAGGACAGCTCGGGTAAAAAGTACCTGAGATCCCATCTTAACCAACAGCTAGGAGGGGTGGTACATGCCTGTCAACTCAACCTATGTGTGAGGCTGAGATAGGGAGGAGCATGGTTTCAGGCCTGTTGGGACAAAAAAGTTCACAAGACCTCATCTCAACAGAAAAAAGATGGGCATGGTGGCATACCTATTTCCTAGCCATGACAGGAAATGTAAAATTGGAGGATCGCTGTCCAGGCTGGCCTGGGCAAAAAGTGAGACCTTATCGCCAAAATAACTAAAGTAAAAAGGGCTGGTGGAGTGGCTCAAGTGGCAGAGTGCCTGCCTAGCAAGCAGGAGGCCCTGAGTTCAGACCCTAGTACTGCAAAAACAAACAAACAAAACCCAGCTACCTTCCCTAAAAACAAACAAACAAACAAACCTCTAAGCACTTCTTGTCCTGTCTTTTTCTTGTTGGTACTGTTTTTTTGGGTTTTGTGGTTTTTTTGGCAGTACTGGGGTTTGAACTCAGGGCCTCACACTTGCTAGGTAGGCACTCCACCACTTGAGCCACTCCACCAGTCCTTTTGTTTTGTTTTTGGTGGTACTGTTTTTTAGGTTTTGTGTGTGTGTGTGTGTGTGTGTGTGTGTGAGAGAGAGAGAGAGAGAGAGAGAGAGAGAGAGAGAGATTATCTATGGTGCCCTGCATAAAAACATCCAGCTGAGGAGTGATGGGAACTGAAATCCTGCCTGAATGCTGCTCACCCTGACACAAAATTCAACCCCTCAACTGGAGGAGGACTTCCTTCCTCCCTCCCTCCCTTCCTTTTTTTTGTTTTCCAGACAAAGGCTCTGTTTGTTCACCAAGCTTTTTTCCCTAATACACAAAAAGGTGTTGCTAGAGAGAGATATGTCCCCAGAGTGACCCATCCTTCCCCATTATAGCCACTACCACGTTCCTTTTCACCTGTTTGTTTTAAGTTGGGTTTTGTCACTTGTAACCAAAGAAGTGTCACTACCACCGCACATCAGCTAGCAGACTATTTCAGATGATAAACCATGATTGTTTTAGCCCTAAATTTTCTACGAGCTTGCCTTTGGACTCTTCATTTTTTTAACTTATATTTTTGGACCCAGGGTCTTACTACATAGCCAAGGCTGGCCTTGAATTCTTGGACCTTCTGCCTCGGCTTCCTGAATGCTGGGATTACAGTGTGCATCACCAAGCCCAGTGGACTAAAAGTGCAAGCCATTATACTTCTCCAGGTAAGCACAGAACAAATCCTTCCCTTTCTTTGAGAGTCTGAGCTCTCTGCAGAGATACTATGTCTCAGAAATCAAGGTCAATCTATAGTGCTGTTACTGGTTTCTTTATGAAAAGGATGACTTCTAGCCTCTCACAACACTTTGGGGAGTTTCTCTGCTGTCAACCCAACAACTCAGCATGTCACATAAGCATGGACTATTTATTATTACCTAGTCTTCTTTGTTTCTTTTATTTTCTGAGACAAGGTCTCATTACATAGCCCAGAGTGGCCTCGAACTCATGATCCTCCTGCCTTAGCCTCCCCAGTGCTAGGATTACAGGAGAGTACCACTGCACCCAGCTCCTTTATATAATCTTAAAAAGAGTTGTTGCTGCTACTCTTCCCTCACCAGTCCTGGTGCGTTTTGTTTTGTTTTGTTGGTAAGGGACTGCTCACTCACCCTCTTGGGTACCTGTCCAGCTCATGGAGCACTGTGTGGTCACAATATTCAAACACCAGGTGGAGCCTCCGCTTCCTTCTGAAGACTTCCAGGAGGTTGACGAGATTTGGATGCTTGAGTTGCTGAAATCACAAAAAGCCAGGTGCTCAATCCAAGTTGTCAAAGAGTTTTCTCTAATTGTGATTCCCCCAAAAGAAAGCTGTTTGCTGTTTTCCCTACGGTTTCATTCCCTGACCTGCAGGAGGCTGTAGTCAATATCACTGTACCAAACTGTGTGGGCTTTTGTCAGTAACTTGTGATTAAGCAAGATTCTAACCCAGGTGGTTCATGAAAGAAGAGAGCTGTGTGAGAGCTAGAAGAGAGAAGAGAATGAAAGGGAGGGATTTTGAGTTCACACAAAGTCTTCAAGCCCAGATCAGGTGACTCTTCCTAAGGACGTCACCAGTCTGGCTCAGTGCTCTCCCTGCCTCAATGTCCCCTTAAGTATGGCTCTTTCTCAGTTGCTAAGTAGTTAGTAAGCAGTCATTAGCCTGCAATCCTTACTAGTAATGATAGTTCAATGAATTTTTGTGTGTGTGTGATACTAAAGTTTGAACTCAGGACTTGCTAGGCAGGTGCTCTCTTTGCTTTAGCTATTTTTCACATAGAGTCTTGCTAACTTCTTTTACCTGGGCAACTACAGTCCTCCTGTTTCTGCCTCCTAAATAGCTGGGATTACAGACGTGAACCATTACTTCTGCTCTCAGTCAATTAATTGTTTAATGTCCTCCAGTGTCAACAGACACCCATGGATACAACAGACAGATCCAGTGGAACGCAAGGACCACACACCAGGGGCATGTTCTCTGGCCACTCAGAATGGTGCCACAGGGCCTCCAGCATACCCAGATTCACAGTGATCTGTGTCACTCACGGTGTGTGAGAAAATCGTGTTTCCCAGGCTGATGAAGCGTTTGCAACAGAGCAGGGACGGTCCCTCCTCCGCTGTGCCTTGAGGGGTGTCTGGAGAGAAGGGGGTCACGGGCGTGACCTCCCCTCAGTGCTCTGTCCTACCAGAAATGCAAGGAGGCACTGACCTCTTCTTTTTTTATTTTTTTGTGGAAAACGAGACATGTACTAAGAAGGAGAAGCCCACATGAAAACACATTACCAAGGATTCCTTTTCTGCGGTGCCAGTTCTTGCTTCACTGACCTAACACACATCACTAGTGTCCATTTATTGATTGTTCCATGATTTAATAGTTGGTGCTTTGCTCCCCCTTTTCCAAATATGCTTTGATAGTATCACCAAGAAATCTTCCACAAGCGTTTTACAAGCAATTGTTGTGTTTACCGTTTTAACTTTTCCTCTCAATTTAAACAATTGTGCTTAGGCTAGGTGCAATGACTCATCCCTGCAATCCCAGCTACTGCGGAGGCAGAAATTGGAAGGCTGAGGTTTAAGGCCAATCTGGCAAAAAATAAATAAACAAATAAATAAAGTTAGTGAGACCTGATCTCAAAGGACAAGCTAGGCATGGTGGTTCATATCTGTAATCCCAGCCACATAGGAAGCATAGTCCTAGGAGGTCTAAAGTAGCCCAGACAAAAACATGAGACCCTATCTGAAAAACAGCCAAAATGAAAAAGGGCTGAGTGCATGGCTCAGGTGGTACAGCACTTGTCTAGCAAGCGCCAGGCCCTGAATTAAAACCCTGGTACCGCCAAAAAAAAACCCAAAAATTGTGGTAGAACACATATAACCTAAAGTTGAGCTCCTTAACCGTTTTTAAATGTACATTTCAGTGACATTAAAGGCATTCACACTTAAGCTACCATAGCCACCATCACTTGTAAAACTGAAACTCTGCATACTTTAAACATCAGCTCCCTCACCCCAAAAACCCCAGTAGCCCCCAGCCCTCGCCCCCAGCCACTCATGACGACTGCTCTACTTTCTGTGTCTGTGGCAAGGAAGTGAGTGCCCTGGCTGCAGGCTCCAGGGACAGACCCCCCTCCACGTGACCCTTACTGATGCTCTCAGCAGGTGTGGGATCTTAGCAAATGAAGATTACTCTTCTGTAAAAAAGGAACAGAAATTTGTTCCTTATACTTGTGGAGGCTGAGAAGTTCAAGATGAAGATGCCAGCACCCTCTGCTTCTAGATGGCACATGGCTGCTTTGTCCTCACCTGGTGGAAGGCAGAGGGCATGAGAGCTCTCCCTTTGACTTGAGCCTTTTATTTCATTCCTTGTTTTGTGTGGTGCTGGGGATCAACCCCAGAGCCTTCACGTGCTCTGCCACGAGCTCCAGCCACAGCGATCACGGGAACAGTCTTCATGTCCTCATCACCTCCCAAAGGCCTCGTCTCCATACTGATGCAGTGCCTTTAGGTTTCAACATGGATTTTGGGAGGAACACTGTCATTCAAAACCAAAGCAGCCCAGCAGTCACGTCTTCATGTCTGGGTCTTAGAATGGAGGGCACTCCAGGCTAAAACTTTTTTTTTTAGTAGTATTGGGGTTTGAACTTAGGGTTTTACACTTGCTAGGCAGGCGCTCTACTGCTTGAGCCATTCCTCTGGCCCACACTCCAGCCTTTAAAATGCCATATTTATGTTACCATACCTAGAAACTTTTAGCCTATGCTAACATTTTCCAGACATAGTAAGTGAAAACTAACTACTGTCTTAAACCCATGAATGGTATTGGTTTGGATATCTAACATAGAAAATAAATAATCAAATAAAAGGAGTCAAATGGCAGTTTTGTGACAGAACTAGCAGAAAGCAGAAGTTTTCTTTTAAGACCAAAAATTGTCACCCTTAGGCTTGACTCTTGTTTTCACACTATTGTTCCGTTGGCAGGATGTGATCTTGAGGCCAGGGTTGAAATCATAGAATCTTTTACATTTCAGTGTTCCATATCTAGTTCTCATTTTCATATCTGGCCAACTTATTTTGTATTTTGGTGGGACTGAGGTTTGAACTCAGGGCTTCACAATTGGAAAGCAGGCACTCTACCGCTTGAGCCACACTTCTGTCCACTCTGCTCTGGTTATTTTGGAGAAGGGGACCTCACAAACTATTTGCCCAGCTGGCCTAGAACTGCAATCCTCCTGATCTCATTCATCTTCCCAAGTAGCTGGGGATACAGGCATGAGCCACTGGTGCCCGGCTTCTAGCCTTCTCTGGACACCCAGACTAGGGCTTCCAATCCACCATGTGCAAGCCTGCCAGGATTGCTGCATGACACTTGCTGCCTGAGGTCAAAGGTCCTATCTGCTCACCCCTCCCCCTGCTGACCCCTGAGTTTCTCTCATTTCCTGGAAGTCTGGGGCTCCTTTTTGCTTCAGGGCATGGCCATGGTTTCCTCTCTCTGAACACTCCCCACCTCCAGATGTCCCTTCCTCTGTGTAGCATCCTCTGTCCCACACTGACACAGCTAGTATACTCTGAAAGAGCTTTCCATGACCTTGGAACTCAAGTCAGGGGGAGCACTGTGACCTTGTCACAGTAGAACCCATTGTTCTGAGGGGGACCCGGAAGTTTATTATGCCCGTCTTGCTATGTCATTGCACACCTTTTGAAAACTGAGATCCAATGGCTGCACAACAGTCTATTCAAGTATCATATAGGCTCTTCCCAGTTTTAGCTAGTATAAATCAAGGTGGTTTTTTTTCTTGGTGGGACTGAGGTTTGAACTCAGGGCCTTGTGCTTGCTAGGTAGGCATTCTACTGCTTGAGCCACTCTGCCAGCCCCTTTTTTTTTTGTTAGTTAGATTTTTTTTGAGATAGGCTGGCCTGGACCACGATCCTATTTTAAGCTTTAAGCTAGGATGGCAGGTGAATACCACAGCCTGCCTAGCTTTTTTCATCGAGATGGGGTCTTATGAATTTTTTACTGGGGCTGTCCTGGACCCACAAAACTGTCCATCTCAGCTTCCATGTAGATGGCATGACAAGGGCACACCACCATGCCCATCTATTGGTTGAGATGGGGTCTCACAAACTTTTTGCCTGGGCTGGCCTCAAACCACCATCCTCCTGATCTCTGCCTCCCAAATAGCTAGGATTATGGGCATAAGCCACAGCACCTGGCCCAAATTACTTCTTTTGGGGGCTTAAAAAGCCTCAGCAACATGGCAAGGTTTCTAGCACATGAATTTTTATTCTTTTTTTTTTTGTGGTACCTGGATTTGAACTCAGGCCTCATGCTTACTAGGCAGGTGCTCTACCACTTGAGCCACTCCACCAGTTCTTAGCATGCAATTTTTAAAGTACTTGTGTCTCCTATCCTCCTCCAAGAGATAGCCTCCTTTTCACTGCAAATAACTAATAACCTGTCTCTCAACCTACTTCAGAAAGCTCAATCATCGAAACTAGATCTTAATTAGGGATCCAAAATATTAAATTATAAATACTTAAAACAGATTTTTAACTATCTCCAATGGCCAGGATTCTAGGTGGCCTAAAACTTTTGCAGAGCAGATGTCTGGTCTGGAGCACGCTCTCATAAAGCCAGTCCCTATCCGGCTGCATTCAGATATTGAACAAATGCCTAAAGATGCCTCCTGAGCATCAAGCCTGTCCCCACTGCTGGGTCACACTGGGGAACCAGAGCAAGCACCCAGGCACTGAATGAAGAATTGCCATGAATAAGAAGTCAGACTGCCTTAGAGAAACTGGCTTTGAGGGAGTGACCTTGAGCTAAGTTCTAGAGGACAAGGTCTAACCAGACCAAGGGCGGGAGTGCTGGTGATGGGACAGACATCAGGGTTCCAGACAGAATGCCTGGCTCTGAACCAGGAGGGTTCAGGGTCACTTAAGGAACTGAAAGAATGTTTGTCTTGCAGGTGGCACTCGTGGAGCTGTGGGCAGCCAGCCGATCAGAGGCAGGACCCTGTGGGCCACACAGGGAAATTTGCATTTTATCCTGAGTGCAATGGGAAGTGTGCAGAAGGAAATTAGCAAGAGGTGGTCCAACACCACTTAAATTTTAAGAGCTCACAATGGCAGCAGGATGTGGAATGATTTACAAGAGGCACAAGAGCAGAGGAGATGGTGCAGGGCCTGTTGACAGGTGAGAGATGACAGTGGCTTGGACCACAGCAGAGGCAGGAGAGATTGCAAGAAAGCACTGTG